CTTTTATTAAGCACCCTTTGTACTACAAATTACTTTTTTGAAATTTCATTTTTACCAACATTATCCCAAGTTATAGTACAAAAACTTAGAGTGGCCGGTACTGCACGATTCTCCCCTATGTTACAGCCGCTCGGCCTTAGTTTTCGAGATGTACGCAAAAATATTTCCAACTCTATACAATATTTAATGCTACGTATTTTTTTACGGATTTGACTTAGATTTTAGGGTTAGGTTTAGGTTGGGTGTGAATTTGGTAATAAATAAGATAACAATTACCGCTGAAATTCACCGATACGATGCACATATACGCTTCTTACGGCACGTAAGCGAAGAGCGTTTTTTACCTAAGGTTTATTGCACCCCTTACTGGCTGGTGGACTCCAAGGAAGAAGTCAGTCCAGTACAGACGCACAAATACGTATCCACGCTCAGGAGCGCCATAAGACTTTTAAATACAGTATTCTTTTCACACAGTTAACTTCAAGATCACATATAAACTGTCTATTAACTAGGCTACAGATTTCCACTGTGGTTATATTTAGCATTGAACAACCTGTAAGAAACCACGTGTTGTTTTTTATAAATATAGCAATTCCAACAATTACAATTTATAATTACAGGGAAATGTTACTCAGTTAAGTAACTTTAAAGAAGTTACTTATAACCCATTAATTTCTCTCTTTTATAGATATTAAAACTCATTATCATCAATGAGTTTGTTTAAAGTAGGGCTTTTACTGTTGCCTGGATTTACGGATATCCGAGTTTTGAGTATCTGTGTTCTTAGATACCCGCAAAAGTTCATCTCAACGGGCCAAAGCCACTTGTGTGTGTGTGCGTGTGTGATGTAAAAGGCAAGCAATAATCCATTCGAAACCGAGAACTGTTTATGCTTACTTATGTATATATGTATACATATACATATGCTGCACACTACCATCTCTTGTTTCTCAGGCGATTGACAACTAACGATTCTCGACAATCAATCGTTGCCGTCAAGTTGTCAGCTACGTTACGTATTGAGAGAATAAATTACATATAAATTAATTTCACATTAATATTACATATAAATTACATTTTTTTGTACTCGACAGTATTATGCATACTACTTTTATCATACATATACATTTTTTAAAATTATTTAAATTACCTTTTCAATTATTTTTTTACATTAATATATTACTCTTCGTATTTCTTGTTTTAATCACTTTACTTAAACTTTGTTTCTTTAATCAGAATCTATATAAGAAGAGCTTTATATTTGAGTTAACATGATAAAATATTCGAAACCGGGAACTCGGATACTCGGATCAAAGGAAGGATATCCGGATACTCAGATCCAGATTTCGAGTTACAATGTATAATCCGAGTAGGTACTCGGATATCCGAATGGTAAGAACACTAGTTTAAAATGTACACTGTATATACTTGTAACCTAAGTTTAAATAAAGTTTTTTGCGATTATCTCGATAATAACAGGTACTAGGAAAAGTTCTTCAAAATGTTGTTCTCTATGGCACAGTTAAAGGTTATTGAAATCGGTACGGTGTGCCCTTTTCTGCTAATCATAAATTCTTTTCGATGTGTCTTATGTACAAACACCACAAGAAAGTTTCACCCCTAATTACCCAAAATGTAATATCATAATATATCAGAATAAAAATTGCTCTAGCAGCAAAATGCGCAAATAATTAATATTTAACACAGACAAAGAAACATCTTCAAACGAAATTCTGTGATATTAAGATTCCACGATTTTCCTTATCTTAATTGAATTTCACGTACCAATTTTTTAAATGCATTATACATTAACACGGTCCATAAAAATTTGATGCATTCTAGATTCAATAGTACTCCTTCTCATGTTTCACTGTGATATGTACCACACGACTGTAAACAACACTTGGTCCAGGGCTGCCATTTGGACGAATCGATCAATTGTAGTACATCGATATTCAGATTGGCAATAAGATATTACACCAATATAACACCTCACTTCCTTCTCTACCTGTCAAAAAGAAAAAAAAGAAGGAGAAATCGAAAACGCAACGAAATTATATCTTGTAATACGTATATAATACACTTTCGAACCAGGGACATGTACTTGTTTGTAAATGAAATATTGCTCGTGTTTCGTCCACAACTAACATTCACACTATTTATTTGTCTATCACGACGTTTTTCGAAACAAATCTACCACCTATCATGAATTCCCTAGTCCTCATTTGATCAAAAATGCATCCGATAATAACTGTGCAAAGCTGAAAATAAATTTGCCACAAATTTAACGCGCAACACCGTGCCCACTGCGGTGATTTGTTATATTCATTAACACCAAATTTGATCTCACTCCAATTTCAAGCTAAATCACGGAAAATTCCCAAATGGTTCATCAACCCGAAACATTGGTAATAAGAAATAAATAGTAGTAATATACGATACATACAAAATCCAGTTACCCTCTTTGAAAGACGGAGAGATGACAACGAAGTGAAGTATGTTCTTCTGAAAGAAGATTTTCACTCTACGAAAGTTGAAAGCAGAATGCTCTGTTTCGAATTGTGCTACCATCCAAGAAAACTGTAGCTGCATTCTATAGCTTCTATATTTTTCAAGAAAGTGTGCAGAATTTCTGAACTGAAGCATAATTGCAGCTCGTGTGACATTATCGATTCGATAAAAGTGATGGTTTACGTGCAACAGAGACGAAGAAAATTATAGTGAACTGGATGGGCAGCAGTTTCATAAAAATTTCACGTACAACAGTTTAACCAACATGTGTATCATTCGCTAGCGACCAGTGTTCGAGCTCAAAATACAATATTATAGCGTATATCGCCTTGCTGGCGTGAAAATAAGGAGGAAGTCAAGATATTACGTGGGGCTTGCACCCTATATTTATCTTACGTACCACGATTACCACGAGAAATTCAGGGGAAATATCTTTGGAGGGATAAGGGACGATTGGCGGCAGTCGTGTTTTGACTTTCGAGCCGCGATGGACTTCCTCGAGCAGCAGAGTTGTATTAAGAAATATTACCCGCTTTTGTTTCATATGGGCGTGTGGCCTTTCGATTATTCGAAAAAAAAGACAGTGAAAAGAATCTGTCTTTGCGTATATCACTTATCCTTTATTAGTGTTCAGGTATGGTGTTTTATTTTAACAATGCATATAAATACTTTTAATGTGATTTCCTTTTACGTGTTGAAAACGCCAAATTATTTTTGGTGCCTCGTGCAAGTAGGAATATTATAAACCCACTTGTCTCTTAATATAGACTCATATAATGCTTTGTGATAAATTGCACCTGTAAGCATTAATTAGGCAGACTCAGTTCTACTAATTATATTTCAATCTCTATCAGGTAGGGCGTTAGAATAATAAATAATTGTATATTACAGTATCATAAGGCAAGGGGTTAAGAATGTTCTCTGAGTGAATATATCCTTAGCAATTTGACTACTTCATCGACTAATATAAGAAATAATAAGTCAAATATTTTGGAAGATTTATACAAGCTATTTATAGGTTTTCGTGTACTTCACCACCAAGATTAATTTGCGTCTGCTTATCGACACGATCCCGGTCATAACAGTCTGCCTGATAATATTACTGAAGTATGGAACAGTATGGGTGAAAAACGATGCGGTAAGTCGACAAGGATCTGAGAAAATTACCCAGAAAAATCGATGCTTTAATTGGAGACAGAGCTTACGTGGTCATTTCTTAAAATTTCAACTATATAAACAAAAAATTGATGTCTATTATCACTTCATCACAGTATATCCAGGCATACGAACACATGAAGATCGATTGGTGCATGTTGAAAGATGCTGAAGAGATCAACGCCTTAAACCGAGTGTATTCGAGCGCATCCCATTGCAATTGGCTTTTGTTTGGTAAGCAAAACGTTGATATTAATAATTTATTTTATACCTATTCTAGGAGCAAGACATTTAACCCTAAGATCTTCGGTTTTTCCATTATTCCAGTGTTCTCATATTTACTGACCTCTTCTATCTTACTCTCGCAAACTCTTGTACCTCTAACCGATGTCAATGCTAATGACTTACTCGTTCGAGCCGAATATTTTGTCGATTACGAAGATTACTTTTATCTAATCACGACCCACACGGTTGTAGAAAATTTGTGTGCTTTTGGTATGCAAATTAGTAGCGATATTTTGAATACCATAATTATGATGCACATCAGTGGAATGTTCGAGGTAACTGGGTAAGTGTACAATAAATATAAGGATTTGATAATATCGGTAGATTTTTATAATTAATTGTGACTTGGAAATTTCTGTGCATTCTTCCCTACATAAGGATTGTTGTCGAGCATCTGTTCGACAAATGCAAAAGTGCTGACGGGAATATCGACGAAAATTTGATTTACTACAAACGTCTGCTGCGTATTGTGAATATGCATCGAAGAAATCTAAAGTTAGTGTTAGTTAACTAATGCTTGTGTCTATAGATTATCAAAAGAAGATATCACGCGATTATACGGATTCTTTTTTTCAAGACTTTTCAAGATATTTGAAGACTGCATGCACAGCAGTGGCGTGTTCCAAATATGTCTCGTAACCGTTAGTATAACTACCATAATGTTGAAAGTAAGTTGAATATTAAACAACATTGTTGATTCTAAAAGCCTCTTTGAATTAAGTCTAAATGGTAAAGCAGTTACTTTTCTATCGCAACAATTCATTATTTAACATTATGACACAGTTTTGTAAGGATTATGTGTTGTTGCCGTTATGCACCGTTGAGCAGTCGCCAGCGACTAGATCCTTGGCAACCACTGGGTTTAAGAGAATACTTATATGAGCTTGTATGCACTTGGTGTCTGCTACCAGGAAAACAGGAGCGACGCACGGGCGACTCGCTTGTCGCGGCGACAAATGAAGTGCGTTAAATCAAATGCACGCGTTCACACGACAAACAACTTCCTTGCAGACCATATATAACAATGGATTTCGATACAGAAAAATTTGTTCTAGACATTCAATCTCGAATGGCCATTTTGGATTTATCTTCCAATAACTATGCCAATCGAGAAATTGCAGAATCCCAATAGGAAGTAGTAAATACATTTGCAACTAAAAGAATGTTCACCGAATATTCCTTTCGTACGGCGCTCTTACAACAAGGGGTGTACCCAATATTGCATTTCTTTCCTTCTTTTTAAAGGAAACTTCATAATTATAACAATCTCCTCGACATCCAATCGGTTCTCCTGTCCCCATAATACTGACAACTTTCGGATCGTAGAGTTTGGTCTCCTGGTTTTTGATATTCCGTCGATCAAGTCACCTGTGACTGGTCGACAGTGCCTAACGGTTCTTAATATCTGATATTGCGAAGTTCACGAGTGTAAGACAATCCGTTTTGAGCCCTTCAAGGGAGTCATTTAAGACCAGGCCCACCTCCGATGTGTGAGTATAACTTACCCCCTGGGAATTCTTCGTGGATTGATTCGCGCAGCGTCCTCGCTCTTTACAAGAAACCGGAGACCACGCGAGCACAACCTTAAAGATAATACATACATTTCCGAAAATATAGAAGAGTTCAAGTAATTTTGTTCCCACCCTATTGCAGGCTCAGGTTGATTCCGACAAAGTTCTGTTTAAAAGTTCAATTGCTTTTGCCTGGAGTTCATAGACGTTCTACCGGAAAGTTCAAAATGTTCTGGTTTAAAGTCCAAACATGATGTGTCCAGGGGTGTAACTCCTTTCGTCCTTGTTGGAAAAACTCTGCCTCCATCGTCCGAAAAACCTCCCTCCAAGTAGTATCTTGGAGAGAAGCGCAGAATAGTGAAATCTAGGATTGTCCAATTAAAAACTGGCGTGGTTTCCCGATTACTCAACGCCTACAGGCCAATTATTTCGTCCGGTCAACCAGACCTGGAGGACGTATTACAAAAAGTACCTTGTTCGGGAAACCGGCACATAAATCCTAGGTCCTTCTTTTCACAGTGGGCTTGCGATAAGTCAATTGCGGTTGAGAGTGACCTGTCTGGGCAATCTTTTGTTGTTATCTTTCAGACAGACGCAAGTTCTTTACAAAATTCACAATCCTAGGCAAACAAATTGATTTTCTCAAAAACGGCACTGTTCTGTGACTTTACAAACGACTTTAACAAACATTTAAATATTTGCAGTCAACTTTAAAATGAAGCGTAATCAAGTGAGTCAAGTGTATTTGGACCAAACCGATAGACGTGTGATCCAAGAGTATTTGAACTGGAGCGATGAAAGTGTGAGAGGAGTGTGTTTGACCAGAGTGCGTGAGATTATAGAATGTATGGTACAGGTGCAATGATAAATGGTTATGAAAAAAGCACATTATTGCCTCATCCTGTGTCACATTTTTTCGTAACCTAACATTCCTTCAATAAGAACGTCTTTTTTCTTTCTTTTCTTAGGCGCTCGAGATGATGTCGCCGACAGGAAATTTGCAAAATAAATTTTTTACAGTCGTGTTCATAGTTTCGTACTACATACTTCTGTACATTGATATGATACCTGGTGAAAAAATTATTCAGAGCAGCGAGGTTCTATTCTTCAAAGCGTAAGTTCTTTCAAATTAACAAACTAAATTACCCAATAACAGAACTTTCATTGTATGAATCACTTTCAATTTGCATGTCGAAAAAAGAAGAAGTTCTGACATAACAATTTTATCAATGTCTTGTTTCTCTATTCTTGTAACATTTAGCTATTGTGCAAAATGGTACACAACCTCGGTAAAATCCCAGAAAATGCTACTATTCCTCATGCACAGATTCATGGAACCGTGCAGGCTACAACTGAAAAACGTATTGGCCATGGGCAACGAGATGTATGTTGTTGTAAGTGTTTCCATAATGATCAAGATCATAACCATGCACAAATCATCCATAACACAAATACTTTAATCCAAGCTGGTGCAGACGAGTTTCTCCTACTTCATGGTTCTCTACTCGTTACAAGAATAATCGAACGACGTGTGAACTCTGTCGTTCGGCCGAATTCGCGCAAATATCGTCGCAAACAGAACGGTGAAGTATAGTAGTACATCGATACCGTGGACCAATTAAACTAACGGGGATATTGCGTAACTGTAATTACGTCCTAATTGTACATGTTCTGCTCCGATACCATAGGATTTTGTCACGCACCGTGTTGTATTTCGTAACCACAATGCTTGTTGCGTTCGCGGTGACGCGATCATCGTGTGTGTCGCGTGTGCCTCACTATGCGCACGATTCCGCGCTGCTGGACCAAGACGTTGTTACGGGGATTTGCAAGCACCATTTTAATTGACACATATTAAATGACTCATAATAGTGAAGCATGTATTAATGATTTATTTGCTCGCTTTGTGTATGGCCGATACAGTTCATGAATGCCGTTCATCGCTGGTAAAGTTACTAGTACTTTTATACGTTCGAGAGTTTGTGTTTCGTGAATTTTGTGGGACGGAAGAGGAAGTTTCTTAAGATGTTCTCACAGATTTAATGTTCATAATTAAGTTCCAGAAGTCTAATTATAACTTTCAACTTTTGGAAAGGGATGTGTATTTTTCATGACATTGTGGAAATTTCAATTTTGTTCTTCCTCAACGATTTGTGGTATAATTCAGAGTTATGTTGATCGTTATAGTTAAACTATTTCAATTTTTCTTTTCTTCAGCAAACGAAAGCATTTATCACATTTCATACTAGTGTGTGTTTTTACATTTTTTCCCAGCCATTTATCTTGCAAAGTTTGAATATTATTACAGTAGAGAACAATAACTGCGTCCCAAAGAGCGCTTCTGTCTTGCACACCTTTAAAGTTCTCGCACGCGTCGCCCCCGGAACTTGAATTGCCAACTGCGCTCCCGTCGAGTGGCTAACAAGACGACACAAGTGACACAAGCGGCATAAACTCTTCCTGTGTCACAAAATTGTAAAAAATCTATCGCGAGAAATAACTGACGTGAACAAATATACATATGTTAC